AGAAATGGAAATCACTGGCTAAATGAGATTTAGGAATTATTGGAGGATTTATTGTCATACATTCTCTCCCTTATAAGGCCTGATACAGATTTGGCTGTATCTGTATTGTGCATTAAGTAGCCAAGGAGTTTTAGACTTTGTAGCGAACAGGAGACAGGTGGATCACAGCATTTGCATCCTAATTTATTCTTACAAATGCTAAGTCCTGCAGAAAGCCAGGGCTGCCAACTGTCAGACAGGCAACACAGTTGCAATAGCAAATAACAGTAACATGTGATTGGCTTTAAAGTTGTCGTTAACCACACAGATTCTGCTGGGGCCGGTGTTGACCAGAACCAGTCAGATGAGGTCATTCCACCTCCTTTGCCAGACACTCGTTTGGGCTCAGGCCATGTGATGTGACCTGGCCATGAGAAGAAACTGAAACTGCTGGAGGCTTCTGGAAATGTTTTCCCATCTTTGAGAACGAAACATGACAAGGATTAGCTCTTCCTTCTCCAGGCCTTTGTTGTGTGGCCACGGGAAGCCAAGGTGCTTGCAGCTGCCAGGGCTTTCTTGGGATCATGAGGGAAAGAAAAAAAGGTCAAGAGCATTTCTGAGAAGCTGGCCCCAGGTCCTGACGTCAAGGAGCCGCCCAATGACGCAACCCTCCAACCATCACCTTCAGAAATGTCATGGTACAAGACAAGGCAGTTTCCTCATTGTTGAGGGTACTCGGTACACTGCACCCAAAATGTCATACAGATCCTAGGCTCCGGGAGAATCAGGCAAACAACTACAAACAGTAAGAAAGTCTGTTTGGGACCAGCAAACACTGAAAAGTGATCAAGTCCACAGACGGCAGGACACCCTTAGGGACTCAGTGGAAAGTATGAATTGGTACAGCTTTTTCTAAAGGCCACTTGGCAACGGCCACATAAATGTGCACATTTTAAGATATGAATCCCTATGATGAAGCAATTGAGTTCTAAGAATCTATTGCGCAACTTTTGCTCTGCCTTGCTTTTGCAGGGAGGATGACCTCCAAAATCTGCCTGGTCCCTTAGCCCTGAAGTCTCCAGTGTGGCTCAGCAGGGGACCCAGTAGCAGGGAACAGAGCAGGATCCTTACCCCAGGGACTCTCCACCCACCTCCCACCCAAGGGGCCTGCTCACTCGGATGTCTCAGGTTATGGCTTCTGAGAGGCAGCCCTATTCCAGGGTCCCTATTCCAGGACTCATTCCAGGGTCCTGCCCCTTAACTCTGTGCCCCCCTCCACTAATAGTCCCCGATCATCTCCTCATTTTAGCCATCTGAGCCCCACCTGTTCCCAGGCAGGATCCTGTCAGATACACCTGTTGTGGACCACTCTGCCTGGTTTCAGGAATTGTAACTCTACTTCCCGTGGCCAAGAATGAGCGAGTGACCTCTGGAATACGAGTCACAGGAGACGAAGCTTGTCTCTGGTAGCAAATGCTGCCTCAGTTTCCTCCCTGCCCCCAAAGCATGGTTGGAAGTCCATGATCGGTAAGACCCCTCACAGTGGGGGGCAACCTAAGCCAGACTCGACCACTTGGGAGGCCTTCATGGAAGGACTGGGGGGAGGGGGGGCTGCAACAAAGAGCAAGCAGTAGACCCATGCCCCCCGGCTATGTGACATAGCCCAAGTTCCCAAGTTCTCTGGGAAAGGCACTTCCTGGCTCTAACCCACTTAAGCCTGAATACCTGATAAGCAGGAGTACAGCTCCTTGACTTACCAGAGTGAATCCCGGGGAAAATCTGGCATCACAAAGAATTCCTGATAAACCTTTGAAATCTGCTCTGCTAAGAGTACTTTCATTCATATGTTAAGGGTCCGAGCAGGAAACCCTAAAAGTTTCTGCAAAACTCTCTTCCTGACAGACTCTGACTCAGACTAAGCCCTCAGATTTTTTTGAAATGTTATCTATTGTTTGATCCTTGTCACCCTGTATTCCTGTGTATTACAACCCAATAAAAGCTCCTGGAGGAAGGGGCTCAAGGCCTTTTTCCCCTGAGAAACTGGCCACTGCTCACAGCCCTTCCCTTTTAAGTGACTGGCCACCTCTCCACAAGAAGACCATGTCATGTCTTGTTTACTTTCATCCATGGCAGACGGGGGGACTTGCAGGAAAAGTCACCCCACGTACATCCTCCTCCGAAACGCATCCCCAGACACAAAGGACTTCTCCTTCCCCACCTGCACGAGACATAAGCTGGGGAGGCAGGAATAGGTGTGTTTTTGTTCACCATGGCAGACCCAGCACTTAACATGAAACTGCTAAGTAAACATTTGTTTTCTAGAGGGATCTGGTATAGAATGGACGAGCCATGGTTTGCTGACTGTCTCAGAGTTATTGGACACAGGGACACAGCTGTGAACACACAGTCACGTTCAAGAATGTGTCCTGTAAAAACGAGGTAAATATTGTGTGTGTTGGTCAATGTACAAAGACATAGACCTTAGGTAAAAAAAAATTTAAATCACAGTCTACAGTATGAACCTCTTTGTATAAACAGAAGTGGAAGGACACCCTCGTGGTTGAAAAGACACAAGACTCCTGAAAGGGTGAGGAGCTGGGCCTTGGTCAGTTTGGGAGAGGGAGAATTTGGGAGAATGAAAAGGGGTCTTTTTTAAAAAAATAGCATTTCCACAATGATTTTTTTACTGTAAGCGTATATCACTAGACTTATTTGGGAATTAAGATATCACCAAATAAGTAAAACTGGGCACAGAATTGGATGAAATCACCTGATTCTCACTCTTCAGTAGAACAGCACATGAAAGCCAGGAACAGGGCCTCCAGCTGCTTTCCTCACTCTCACTTTGCTTTAGCGATGGCCCGGGGTCCCTCTGACATCTCATGTGGGTCTGCGACTCCCCCGGCCTTAGTGCCCACAAACAGGCTCCCCCGGAGACCATTTAAAGTGAGAACCCCTAAGGACAGGTCTCCAGACCAGTGGCATCAGTGCCACCTGAGAACTCGATGAAATGCCCCACAGTCCCACACGCCACTCAGCAAGACCACCTGCTGCTTTGCTGCCTGAGCGTTACAATGGCCTGAGCGAAATGGAGCCCATCCTTCGGCTCCGCTGCCCCTTTGCAGTCAGTGCCACGCCCCGTCCCAAGGGCTGAAAGCTGGGCTAGACCCAGGTGCCCGGCACTGCCCATGTCACAACATGAGCTTTCGGTCTCACTCCTCTCGTGCCTTCGGTGCCTCTGACAGGGCCCCTGGGCCCACCGGGATCATCTGGCACCAGCGCCTCACACCACGCCTCATGCCACTCAAGTGCACGCAGGCCCTCATATTCGATCTACACCCTTGATGAGCCGGCCCCTGCGTCTTCAAGGGCCCCTTCTCATCTGTCCTAGATACAAGTAGTCCTACAGCCACACTAACCTGAGCCAGTCCTAGGACTCACCAGCCTCCCCCCTGACCCTATGGCTTTGGGATGCACTGGCTGGGCCAGCCTGCCTCTGACTTCCTCGCCACCCAGCTCAAGTGCCCACCCTTTTTTACAGCCCCGGTCCTAAACCCCCAGGCTAGATGGGGCATTCTCACCCCATAGCACCAAGGGCAGCCTCCACCAGAGCACCTTCAGATGCCTATTTAACTGGAGAATTGCTCAAGGGCAGAAGGGCCCACAACTCCCACACCACTGTCCAGCCCAGTTCCTGGCATCACAGTGGGAGGCAATGATGACAGGCTGATGGTCACTGACCGCCTCTCAAAACCATTTACATTTCTGCAGCTCAGGGCGTTGTGCTCGCAGGCTTTTCAAGCCTGGTGAGCAGCACCTCTGTGGAGGTAAAGCTTCACACCCTGAACTTGATGAAGTCGTGTGTTAACACAGCCCCACCCCTGTACGTTGGGGCCTTTCTCCACCTTGTGCGTCCAGATTGAAAGGCAGGATGTGCACAGGCTGCTTCTTGCTACGGGCACTGAAATTGCTAGACGCTGGCCTTCCCACCCTCCCTGGGTTCCCTGCTCCGTCACCCACGCTGGCTTTGACATAGGAGCTGGTGATGCAAGATGGGACAGGCAGGTCTCTCTGGGGGATGCAGCAGATGTTTACTTCCCATAATCAGCGTGCAGCGTGGTTTGCCGCATTTTCTCCAGCTTCTCGGCCCTGACCGAGTCAGATTCCCAACAACTCCCCATGGTGAGTGTTCATTGTTCATACCTGTTCTGAGCTCAGCCAGCAACAGCTTCTTTGCAACAGAGAACCTGTGTGGTGCAATGGATGTCATCTTGGAAACCAAGAATTTTGAAAGTGGTCAGTTACCAAACTGGTTAATACCACAGTTACATATGAAGTGTCGCCCTGGAGTGGCAAGCATAGCTGCCCCGTCTCAAAAACTGTCTGCACATAGTTCTGGAAGAGGAGAGCCACGGCGCACTCAGCAATGTTGGCGTAAGTACGCCTCTTGACACAACACCTGGGTGGAAGGACACCTACTCCAATGCACATTCACCTGGGTATCTCACAAATAGTCCCACCTTGTTATACTGACACACTCCAGCAAGTAGCTTCTGGCAAAATGCAAGGTGACCTTGTAAACATGCCTACTTTTATACGTTAACTATCACTAACATGATTATGTCTCTTCTGCTAGTGAGCTCACCAGCATCTTCCTGTTCCCACGTCTCCAACTAGGGTGAGTGCAATGCTGTAGGTGAAGTGACGATGAGGCAGGACTTCCAGGGCACTTTCGGGGTTAGATCCACCCAGTTCTGAGTTCTGCACTGGTGGGTGACTCTGCACTGTCCCAAATGCACGGAAATGTGCACACACACTCACTGACGTTTCCTTGTACCTCTTAGCAGAACAGGATTTCTGCTCAATTTCCGTCTTTACAGAAATGTCACAAGCTGAGGTTGTGCACAGCCCCCTCCCCCCGCCTTCACACACACACACACACGAACACACACACACACACACACCCCATGGCAGCTGCTTTCCAGCATGGGCTCTGGGGTAAAAGGAAAATCCAGCCTTACCTGCTTGGGCAGCTGTGATCAGGGCCGTGTTCCCCTCGTTGTCCTGCCAGTTGACGTCAATGTGGGGACACTCTGCTAAGACCACCACAGTATCCACAAAGCCGTGGTAGCAGGCAACAATAAGGCCGGTCTAGAAATAAAGAGGCAAGTGGGTCAGAGGAGCAGATACCAAGCATCACCACCACAGAGCATGGAGTTCCCCCAACCCCCCAGGGGCTGGAGCAGGAGGACCCCGCGATTCCCAGTTCTCAGCTAGCAGTTTAGAGCAAGCCAGCAGTCTGTTCACTCTCAAATGTTCATTGACTGTGGACTACAAGCGCCTGGGAAACACCAGAGGACCAAGATCCCTGCCCACATGGGACCTGCCTTCTCTGGGGAGGGGATTAGACGTAAACTGCAGACCTACCCTGTGAGTGATAATGTGTTAGAAAGTGCACTAAGCCCAGGGAGGTGGCTGCGTGCAGGGGAGGGGCAGCTGGGTCTTAAAAGGAGTGCTGGGGTGGTCCCACGGGGGAGGCATTGAAAAGATGAGGAGCAAAGAAATATGCCCAGGGGACATGCGGGGAAAGGTCCAGGCAGGGGACATGCCTGGCCCTCCCAGAGACCAGCCAGGAGGCCTTCGGAGCAGAAGCGAGCAAGGAGGAAGTCAGGGGAGCAACAGGTCCTGGGAGGCCACAAAAGAGGTGGGGGAGGGGGTTGCGCGATTTGATAGGAGCATTCTGAGCAGTCAGGGCCAATTGTCTGCATGACTTGGGCTGCTGGGTGGAAGCAGGTAGACCAGATTGGGGGTGCAGGAGACAAGTTGGGGGTGCATATAATAAAAAGTATTTGGTCTTAGTCCCCAGTCCGGGCAATGAGCTCCTTGATCCCGCAGATTTCACTGTTTTTATATGCTAATAAGATGACTCGTGGTGGGGGGGTGCCTCAGGATGGGGGCTAGTCTCTAGAATACCGACAGCAAGATTGGAGGATTGGATCTTTCGGCCGCACTCCCCATGCCCCCTCGGAGAGGAGAGAGGGGCTGAGATGAAGTTCCATCACCCGTGGCCAATGATTTAAGAAAGCAAATCATGTCCACTTAGAGAAAGCTCCATAAAACCTCTAGTGGGGATTTTAGGCTGCCCACTGAGATGGACATGGTGATTAAAACCATTACCTTTACCCTACCTTCTGGGGGTCTGTTCTAAAAGTCTGACGTTCCCATGGGTCAGCGATTTTCGACCTTTTTTATCTCACGGCACAGACTATAAACTAGTTACTAAAATCTGTGGCAAACTAAAAAATACATTTTTTTACCTTTTTGACAAAAAAATAGGTATAATTTTGATTTATTCATACCAGAAGGCTATGTTTGTGTGGGCTGTTATCATTTTTTTACTTGACAATTTAAGGGAAAAGAGGCCAGTGACCCTGACTAAATGGTCAGTTCTTGCATGTTTTAAAAATACTGCGGCACTCCAGTTTGCTGCAGCACGCTAGCTGAAAATCCCTGCCATACTTCAAACTAGTGTTTAGCCATAGTTCCAATTTTCTGTTTTAACTGGTGCAGCTTGGTGCCCCCAACAGAAAGGTGCAAGAAGAGGTACAATCTTTGGCAACCCCCTGACTGTGGTCTCCCCAGAAAAACCGGAACAAGAGACTTATCACAAAGGCAAATACTGTCCACTTGCTGCATCCACAGAAACCCACCTGCAGAGGGCCCCCTTGCTGAAACCACAGGTATTTTTCCTTAAATTATAGGCAAAATGTTCGTAAAAATAAAATATTATTATTAAAAATACACATGTACGCTACTTACAGATGAAAGCCCCTATCAGAGGTCAGCTAGAAATTCTAGGCTCTCAAAACACAACCCCAGCCCAGACCCATGTGGCTCAACTGTTTGGGCGTCGCTGGTGAAGGGAAGGGTCACGGGTTCAATTCCTGTCAGGGCACATGCCTCGGCTGCAGGTTTGGTCTCCGTCAGGACACATACGAGAGGCAGCCTCCACAATTGCATGAATCAATTCCTTAAAATAAATCTGTGGCTGTATGTATCTACAGGTATCTATAAATACATACAGTTAGACACACACACATCTGATCAGTTCTGTTTCTCTGGAGACCCCTGATTAATACAGGGCACCTGTGGAAGGAACACTCTGGAAGAACTACTTTCATTTTTTATACTCTATGTTTCTGTACAGTTAGACTTCTTTAAAACAAAGCTTTATTTATAAGAAACTTACATGATTTTAATGCACAATGAAGAACGAGTAAGCAAACATGATGTTTACATTAATGATGTTCTCATTAGGAAATACCGTTCTACAACCACCACCTAAACCACTGTGAGGGGAGGAGGGGCGTCAGGCGGGAGAAACGGCCGCTGACAAACGGCCAAGGGAAGAAGCAGCACAAACCCACAGGCAGATGGCACCATAACAAGGTAATTAATCCCAAGCATCCAGAAGGAAAAGAATATTACTCATGTTCAAAGGTGGGAAAAAATTCCATCATTTGTAATAAATTTTTTTTAAGTTCAGAACCAAGAGAGTAAACGCCAGTTACTTGAAAACCCCTTCCTGTGAAACATCTTCCTCCATAATAAAACCACGGACGGGATGGGGGCTGTGTGTGCACCTTTATGGAAGAATTTAAGAAGTCCTGTCTGCCAGAGACGGAGTTCTAAAAGGAGGTTCTGCATTGCCGTCAGCCTGAGTGCAATTGGTTGAAGTGTGTTAGGTACAGTGTCAATGATCTTGTTTGTAACTAAGCACCATGATGAGAAAGTAAATTCCAGGACTGGAATTTATGTGATCGACGCTGATCACGCCCACGTGGCCGCCGCACAATGTAGCCACCAGTTCTCCCCAGCGCCAGTCCCAGGTTCGGTTTCCCACGCCTCCAGGCCCGCGCATGCGCAGTGGCCTCTGCCTAGACAGCCCTTCCTGCCACGCCACAGTCTTCACCTACAGTCTGCCTGGCACACATCAGACCCTCCGGAGAGTCTGGGTTCAAAACCCCTTCTCACCCAGTTTCTGATGCTCTCATTGGGCTGCCTCGCACACACCACTCCTTACCGGAAGATGAGCACATCCTCTTAACCTTGCTTCCCCAGTGCCTGACATCTACGAGACACTCCATAAGCATTCGGTGAATGAAGGAAACGTCCCTGAAATGGTTCAGTACCACCCACTTCTCACAGTCTCACTGTACTCGATTTACTCTAAACTGAGGAGCTGCCACAAGGTGACGTGAGTTTTGAGCTTGTTATCTGACTTCCACACTCAAGTTTGGAAATTATCTAGGGTCCCAGGGAAACCTCAAAGAGGAGAGCTGTCTTTCATGTGGTAAGGATCACTCTAGGCCGGCGCTGCCAGATCTGGGGCTGAACAATACAGATGTGAAAGCAACAGCCGAAAGCAAAGAAAGTGAAAGTGGGCTCATGGATTCGACCCTGAGGAATGGGGGAGGGGGGGGCGCGTGGGTAATAAGGGGACTAAATTGTCATGGAAAAAAAATATCTAAAAGATTACATTTAAAAAAATAAAAGGCAATAAAAAAAAGAATTCAACCCCAAGGAATTCATTTCAGGGACACTAAAAGTATGTCAAAAGATCTATATAAAGATCTGTAATTGCAAAAGCCTGAGAACAACCCAAATACACATCGAGATGATGGCTGGCTAACCATGTGTTAAGGGACCCTACGTCGTCCCCAACAGGAATGAGGCTGGAATGCAGGTATTGATGTGAAAAGATCTTTGATATGGGATATGAAGTAAAAATAATAATAATAACAACCACAGGTTGGAATGTGATATGATATCACCCCTTTTTGTGTGAACTTCTAAAATGTGTGCATGGCTCCTGCAATAGCCATGTTCATAAAAGATCTTTTATTTTTCTAAAGGGAGATGAAAAATTTTTAACTGGCTACACCAGTTACCAGTTTCAAGACACCTAACAGAGGATGTTTTTAGGCCTTATTTTATATTTTGGATCCAGCTCAATGTCCTTTCAAGGCACATACTTTTTTTCATTATATCAATAAAGTTATTTTGGAAATGGAGTTGCAAGTGATACTTAAAATTTTTATTCATGCTTTTCTGCTTCAAATAAAAAGATAGCTAATAAATTGTTCTACATTAAGAAAAAACATTACAGCCCTGGCTGCTGTAGCTCAGTGGACTGAGCACAGGCCTGTGAAGCAAAGGGTCACCAGCTTGAGTCCCAGTCAGGGCACATGCCTGGGTTGCAGGCCAGGTCCCCAGTAGGAACACATGAGAGGCAACCACACATTGATGTTTCTCTCCCCATCTTTCTCCTTCCCTTCACCTCTCTCTAAAAGTAAATAAATAAAATATTTTTAAAATATATTAAAAAAGAAAAAACATTACAAAAGATAAAGTGTATAAAATATATCAGGAGAATTCTTACGTAGAGGCAGGGCTCACCTAGCAAATTTTGGATAAGGAGTAGATAAATTCAAGGTTGTCATAATTCAGAACGACTTCACTTTAGACTATTGTGCACAAGACATGAATGTTATTATCACTGCAAACCCCTTGTTAGGATTTGTCACTTTAGACTGTCATTTTAGGAAACTACTTTGTTCAACTACAGTCTCTCTGCAAACCCAACGTGTGCGCATGCATGCACGTGTGTGTGTGTGTGTCAGAGGTGTGTCTAAATTTCCCAGCACTAGTAGTGGTTTCCACACAGCCACCCCACGAGTGCTCAGTGATGAAAAACCATGCCTGTTTAACACGTGACCTGAAGGCAGCAACTGTCAATAATGATGGCCTGTTCCTCTCGCTGTTTATTCACTTCATCTATCTGAAGTGAAACCTGGAATTTTCACAATGGATATACAGAGCTCAACAGAGAACTTTAAAGAGAAAAAAACAGAATGGAACAGAACCCCCTCCCCATGAGGAAGGGCTTGTGTAGGGTGTGCCACATGGCAAGGAGCTTGGTGAGGGTCTTCCCACCACAGACTCGGGTCCTGCGGTGCATTCAAGCCCTCAGACCACCGGCCCCGAGGAAATCTGATGGCAGCATCCTGAGAGACCCTGAGTCAGAACTGCCCAGCCAAGCTGCCCCTAAGTTCCTGAGCCAGAGGCTGAGAGAATAAAGGCAACATTAG